CTCGTTGTTTTTACGTTTATTTCTTTTACTAATAACTGAAGACAGTATTCAAGACTCAAGTAGTCACACTTGCTAGGAGCTCTTTGACAAGTTGCATTTAGCCACATAGAAAGAACTAGAGCAAGTCCGTTCATTTACGTAAAATAAAATAAAAAATACAATGCCATCCAAGCTCATGTTCGTTCAAATCTCAAAAACTGCACACTGGAGTTGTAAGCAAAACGAAAACGGCGTAAACGGGGAAAAAGGAAAAAGGGTTAATAACTAATGGTGCCACTAAGTGGAAACGGGAGCTCATTAGTCTTATGTTATCAGATAACTGCAGACATTACATTATTTCCTGTTTATTACTTGTGATTAATCGTTTAACAACAATGGTCAAGTAGTTGCACTTGCTAGGGGAGCTCTTTAATGAGACGTATTTATCCACATACAAGAAAGTAAAAAAGTCAACCGTACCATGAGGGCTCTTTGACCACTTCCAAGCATATCCAGCAGTTGTAATTGCTCCAACAGCAGCACCTACCATACCGAACTGTGCTGCTTCCCTTGCAGTCTTCAGCTGAACGAGGTGGCAAGACACGAGATAAGAGAAACAGCGATTACGAGAATATCGAAAGGAATAAAGAAGTTACTAAAAAATAGATTTAATTATCATACTTCTTAACCCCAAAAATAAAGAAAAAATAACGAGAAAGCCCTCAGCTGAACTTTCGAAATCCAGTAATCACACAATTTTCGTCACTACCTGTAATCCGATAACAGAGTCCCAAAGAGGCTACACAAGTAAAGAGACGAAAATAGAAGAGCAAAAGATGGAAATAGAACTCCACCCAAACAAATGACTCAGTATTACACACGTGGCTCGGAAAACCAAAATCCAATCGAGCAAGCAGGTGAGTTAGATGTGAATAATCGGGAAAAATGAACGGAGTGACCAAGAGCTGCAATACTCAAAAAAATCCTATATGCCTTTTGTTTCTTTTATAACATAGATCAAACAATCAAGATATCACAGGCATACCCATCAAATTTGTAACTAAATCTATTCCTCGACAGCTGTTCTTCCATTAAAATTACTAAAGACAAAGCATCTGTGCTTCAGATGAACAACAACTGGGCACTAATCATATCCCATAGGATATAATAAAAAAAAAAAAACGAAATCCCTAAAACACCCAAAAAACACACACACAGATTGATTGGCAAACACAAAATAGAAGACCCAATAAATTTCCCATCATTAATCGGAGAATAAACACAACAAACAAACAAATAACACAAAAAAAATAAAAAATAAAATTACAGAGATGTAGGTTATGAGAAAATATACAGTGGGTCCGTGGACGGGATCAGATGCGATGAACTCTTCAACGACGGAGCTATCCCAATGGGGCAAAGGCTTCTCTGAGTAAATAATTTTGGAATAATTATCCAGAAATGAAAATCTCTCGCCCCAAAATTCCTTGTAACCCTGCCAGTGATTTTTGAAGAACGATATCGGCCCCTGATTTTCGCTCATCTTTATTCTTTCCTTGTTGAAACGATTGGTTTTAGGGATTCGAATTTCAGGATTGTATAATAAACGGAGAAGAGAAGCTTTTCATCAATTTTCTGAGAGTGTACGACTGTGTCGATGGTGTTTTTTACACGATCAGGTGGTGTGATTCTCTGAAACGAGTCTACGGTCCACTGTGGTGGAGACCTGGCTCAACCAGTATTTTTCTGCCACGTCACGTAATCATAACCTTATACATTATTATTTCATTACGTCAATTAATTAATGGGTAAATTCCACTTTACCCCCACGTACTCTCCATGAGAATCACTTTACCCCCTCGTACTCTCAATTTTATCGATTTACCCCCTTGTACTTGTACAATTTCCCAATATAGCCCTTTCCTTCAACTTTTATCAATTTTGACTCTGACGCCGTTTGGTCAACTTTGTAAATTACAAAATTGCCACTGCCTATAACGCGTCGTTTCTCCTCCGTCAATATTGTCATTTCTTCTTCTCCCACCATTTCCCCTTCCAAGATACCCCCAAATTGAACACCTAACTTAGTAAAAATCAAGACCCAAAAATTGATCGATTCCACCTAGTGCAAAGAAAAAAATATATGAATGTGTGAAACTTTCTCTTTTGTAATCTCGAGAGTCAAAATCAAAAAAAATCAATATTTACGTCAATATTTTGACTCTTGACCAAATGGCGTCAGAGTCAAAATCGAAAAAAGTTGACGAAGAGGGTTGTATTGGAAAATTGTACAAGTACAAGGGGGTAAATTGACGAAATTAAGAGTACGAGGGGGTAAAGTAGTTCTTGGGCAGAGTACAAGGGGGTAAAGTGGAATTTACCCTTAATTAATTTATAAAGGTTTAACTTTATATATATATAATTATAATTCATAATTTTTTTTCTTTTTATTGTCTCCAAACATTGTTATCTAAGTAGCCCCACGAAATCTAAATAAATGGTGGGGTTTATATTTTTTTAAATTGAATTAGTACATAGTAGATAAAAACATATAACATATTCAAATTTTATTAATCTAATTAAATATA